ATAGATAGATAGATAGGAATTCATACTTCAATACTAGGAATACTATATACCAAGATGAACTAAAGTGATTAGTAGACCTTGGGAAGCTTCCATTGATCATGAAATAGGGTAGAGCTTGTTAAATTCAAGGCAGACTTTTCTGAGTTTAATGCAATAAACAATGGTTATTCAAATATCCACTCCTGGAAAGGAAGTAGTACCTCAGACAAAAAATACAAACACATTCCCTCCCCCAGGAGTTTTACAAAACCATTGAATCCCAGGTTCTCGCTCTTGGGACCAGTGCAAGCTGCCCCACTCTGAGTCTACTGAAAGTAGACTGGCAGCTCTCAAGGGCAGGGACAGTATCACAGAGCACTCTGAGTGGCAGCAGGTAGGACAGAAAGCTCACTTACACACCCAGCCATCTCCAAGGCAAGGGTAGGACAACAACCTGCTCCACATTCTTTACTCAGTATGGCTACTCAATTCACTCAGCCAAAGTCAGTGTGCTTTTGATCATACGAATACAGGTGAGTGATAATAATTCATTTAATTAAAGATTTCCACAATAATTCAGAATGTAAAAGCAGTCCAAGACTGTATTGAGAGAGACTGTTTCAGGCGTTATCATGTAGATTATGGTGTTTATTAAGAAAAGGCCCTTCTCTCTTATCCATGAATTCATACTGGTTGGCTATGGAGACATTATTATAAATCTTTGGGGCTTCTATAATGTGTAACAAGGATCACTTGCATTTTCTGGCATCTTTCTTAGGACTTGCTAGAGGGTGGGTTGATAATTACTAGACACTATAGGGAAGGTGTTGGGCAGGGACACCTATCATCCGAACTAGGCAGAAGTAAGGAGTGCCTTAGGTAGCCTCTGGATGGAGGGCATATTGCCCTGCCATGCAGTGATGAATTTCAATCACCACTGCCTAGTGCCAGATTCAAATTGGCAACCCACTGAGATGAAACGCTTTCTATCCCATTACTCATGCCTGGAGTGATCTGCTCTCTTGAAGATTGGCTTTCTAGGTGAAAGAGAGGAAATAGAGGTCATTCTAAGATGTTTTAAGTAGCATAAATGATATGAAAGGTGAGGGGTCAGAGAGAAACAATGCAGCTGTGGCAGGGGGGCTGATGGTCACTCCACAGGGTGGGAGGGTGTGAAACTCACAGGTAAAGAGGAATTCAGCTAGAAATAATGATTGGTCAGCCTCATTTGGTTCAACTGGTACAATACTACTGCTCTGCTTAGAGAGTGATGTATTTGGGGGAACATAGAAATTCTCCCCAAAGCATCCTATTTGTCTCAACTTGTCTCAGATAATTGCTCTAAAACATTACAGTCATCTAAAATGTTGGAGAGAAAATAATTTTAAATAATACAACTCACCACCAATAATACAACTTTGGAGCAATCAGTCTCATTCCATGTGAATTATGGATTAATAATCTTTTGATAGGAGTATTAATATTTCTAAAACTTTATTTTTTGGTAGTGCTGGGGATTGAAACCAGGGCCTTATGAATGTTAGACAAATAGTATACCCATAAGCTTCAGCCTTATCCTAAATACTATGCATTACATCTTATAACCTCCTCTCTCTGTGTGTATGGGTGTGTGTGTTATTGGGTTTGAACTCAGGGCCTCTCACATTTTCTAGGCTAGAATTGTACTGCTGAGCCATACCTCCAGCCTTATCTTGTGCCATTGTTTTTGGTCCTGGGGTTTTAGTTTTTGTTGTTGTTGGTTGTGGGGCTTGAATTCAGGGCCCAGGCTCTGTCCCTGAGCTTTTTCACTCAAGGCTAGTACCCTATCACTTTGAGCCACAGCTGCACTTCCAGTTTTCTGGTGGTTAATTGGAGATAAGAGTCTCACATAAGCCCAGGGCCGGTGGCTCACGCCAGTTATCCTAGGTACTCAGGAGGCTGAGACCTGAGGATCACAGTTCAAAGCCAGCCTGGCAAGAAAGGCTGTGAGTCTCTTATCTCCAATAAACCACTAGAAAACTAGAAGTGGGGCTGTGGCTCAAGTGGTAGAGCACTAGCTTCGAGCTGATGAGCTCAGGGATAATGCCCAGGTCCAGATTTCAAGCCCCATGACAGACAAGCAGAAAAGGTCAAAAGCTATATACATATGACTATATAAGATGATGCTAAGCAAAATGACCCCAAGATAGGGACACAAGAGGTTTTATCTTTCTTGCTGTTGTTTTTAATATACTCATAGTATACTATGTGATTTTTTTGTTTCTTTTGTATGTTCTTTCCCCACAGTATAACCCCTGTTTTCACTGTATTTGATTCCAGTGCCCTGCATCTTGTATATACATTTTTCTAATTTGGGGAGGGGAAGGGAAATAACAAAATGCCAAAACAAGGATACAGGTTGACCCATTGTAACAATGAGATGTACAAGATACTATGTTCAAAACGAACTTTACAACTTGGGGGGAGAGGAGGAAGTTGGAGAGGTGGTGAGGGAAGGGATGGTAGAGGAAAAACAAAGGAGTGGGTCACAATGCTGTATAGGACATGTACTCATTACCTTACTCATGTAACTGTAACCCCTCTGGTACAGTATCTTTACAATAAAAAATATATTTTTTAAAAAAAGTGTCTCACATACTTTCCTGCCTGGGTTGGCTTTGAACCACTATTCTTAGATCTTAGCCACCTGAGTAGCTAGGATTACAGGTGTGAGACACTGGTTCCCAGTGAGCTGTTTATTTTGGAGATGATATGGCTTCCTTCCTAGGTGTGCACCTGGAACTTCATCTGCCTACTTTAGGCTTCCTGACATAGCTAGAATGATAGTTGTTTTCTACCAAGTCCTGATTGTTCCACTGATTTGGGAGTCCCTCAGATTTTTCTGCCAAGCTTAGCCTGGAACTTTGATTCTCCCACTCTTAAGTTCCCAAGTAGCTAGGATTTCAAATGTGCACCACCAGTATCCAGCTTTTTGTTGTTGTTGTTTTAATTCAGTTAGGGGAGCAAATTCAAGCTCTCCTGAATGCTAAGAATGAATTCTATCACCAAACAACATCACTAACCCCTTACTAGATCCTAAACTTTACTAACGTCTTATCTCAATATAGAATATGTAAGTAACAGTAAAAGTATTCTTAAAATGGCAGAGTTTAGTGGTACAATAAATACTATAGCAACAGGCAAACATCAACTATCCGACTATCCAGTGGTGGTATTCATCTTTCTGGTCCCTAGGTTTAAACAATTCAACTTTCTTATACCTTCACATACATCAGGGACCTGGGAAGCCAGGGAGACACAGTATACTCAGATGACCAGAGAAAAAGGTTATTAAATGTAAGCAATGATTTCAAATCATACCAACCTGAAAGTAATGTTAGGAGCCCTTTTAATGAAACAAAATGTTTTCTCTGGTTTTCTCCCCAGCTGGAGCTCAAGCTCATCTCAAAGTAGTCTAAATTGGGAAATGTCCAAGGGCAGAGAAAACATGTCCTTGGTCATGTGACAGCTCTGTTTGCCTCCCCTCCAGCTCCAGCATCCCACACATGCTAGCACAGGACTGGCTAAAGAAACAGGATCCAGGGATATCCACTAATGCACAGGGGTTTTTTATCTCAGCAATGGCTACAAAATGGAGTGTCCCTCATCTTTACCTATCTGATACAGAAGCTGCAAAGCAGTGAACCTGGTGAATCCATGTCCCTTTTCCACTCAGGTCCTTACTTTGGGATCAGTGTGATCCCAGAGAGACTGTGTTTTAGTGATGGATAGAGGGTACAATTGTCCTCTCTCAATCTTCCTCTCCCCCCCCCCGGAACTATCTCTGCACCAATCTTGTGAGTATAACTCACACATGGGGAAAGACCCATCATCCCAGGAAGATGGAGAAACCCTGCTTTATATACTTCTCCTTATCTTTGTATCAGCTTTTCCATTTTCCATACTAAAAAAGGTAGGAGGCAGAGGAATTGCTGTTTGCTTTCAGCCTCTACTCAAATAACTTGATGATTTGTTGGAAATTAAGTACGAATTCATCTTGCCATTTTACCGATGTAAATGCAGGATTTGAAGCAGTCTCAGCTTCAGGAAAGGGTTGCCTCTCAGGTGGCTATAAGGGCAGTGGACCCCACAGCCACAGGTGAATCAAGAGCAGGGCATAAGACTGGGCCCTGGCTGCAAGCTGAGGCGCTGAGGCAGTGTCTGAGCATCATACTCAGCTCTGATGAGCAGCAACTCAGCTTAATGTGTTGTGTTTAAACTTCTCATTCTCTCACACAAAGGGCAAATCTCAGCCCTCTGAGGAATTTTTAAAAATTCATTTGAACAAAAGTGCACAAGACCGCAACAACTTGATATAATGATGTTTTCCAGTTAAGGTACTGAAAATGGCTGTGTGCATGCCTATCTGTACATTTCCATCTAGGTTCCATTCCAGTCCCTCTTCTAGTTCTGGTCTTAATAAATAAAAATAAATAAATAGCAAATAAATAAAAACTTCTGCCACCCCAGGGAAGTCAATATGTTAGTCGCCCTGACTTTCCACAAAGGAGTTAAAAAGTCTGCTCAAGACCCACGTATCTCCAATGTAACGTTGTTCAGGAAGCTGACTGCCCTAATGGGGAAAAGACCATCTATTTCCTTGAAAGCACTCCACTGCAGAGGATGCTTCCTCGAAAACATCCACTGATAGAGAATATCTGCCTATGAGGAAGGGGAAAGACAAAAATATGTGAAAGGGTATGTCTGGGTCATTTGTTCAGGGACCCAGCAGCATGTGGGGTGTGCCTGCCTGCATTGCCCTTGGTGGGATCCTGTGGCTACTGTTTTAGGCTTATGGAAATAACCACTTGAGGGAAAGGGCTGCAGGGGAGCCTTCACGGGGCACAGCCTGTAAGGGTATGAGTGCCAGGTTCCCTGTAATTAAGAAGCAGCCTGCTCCTGCAAAGACAGTGCTGCCACCCCATCTGCCAAGCCTGCGGGAGCTGGCACCGAGCCTCCCAGCCTGCCGCCCTGCTACCCACCAGATCCTTGGAGACCGACTTTGATGGAGCGTTTATGCCAAGCTTTTCCAGAGGATAGACAATCTGTCGTCGTGGTCGCACGGGAACCAAGTAATGAAGGGCAGATGTCAGCGAGTGGGCGTAGGGGTTCTGGAACTGAAAGACAGCAATCTATATTTTAGGGGAGAGAATGTCAAAGAGGCACAGCACAGATGTCTGCGTGCAGCTTTACAAATACAAAACTCTTAACTGGGCCAAGTCAGAGAGGGGGAAAAAAAATCAGCAAATAAACAAACATACTCTTCGAGCAGAGGAATGAATTGTAGATAATGCCTGACACTAATGAAGATAATTACGAGAGTAATTACATTACTATCTCTGTGGGAATGACAGATAAACAAGTGGTTTGGTTTATGGGATTTTTTCAGTACAAGTATTTTCCCCAAGAGGATATTCTTCTCCATAGTGGTCATGAATCAGCTTGATTTGACCCCATTAAGCTCTGTTATCTGCGTCCTGTTAACCTTTGTGTGTTTGGCACAACATGCTTTAAGAAGACACATAGATAAAAATGCCATATGAGGACAACTTAGCACTGATGGGAAAATCCTCCTGCTTGTCAAAGTCATTCAGGCTGACTTCAACTGGATCATTGTTCATTTTTTTAAAAAAAAAAAAAAGCATTCCAAAATCAAAAGGTAAAACTAGAGAGTGGGGGGGGAGGGAGTAAATATTTTAACTTCCATTACTACTAAATTATGCACTAGATTATGCTTATTGAAATGACCTGTGGTAAATCAGGTTTTATGCCAATGCTTTAAATATTTAGTTAGTTTTCTAAAACTTGTCAGAAAAGGTCAAATATGGTTGTTCTTAGTTTTCTCATGTTTATGAAATCTTATGAAATTTTGGTGAAACTAACCCAGGAAATAGATACCATTTCAGTAATCCAAACTGTCAATGATACATTTATCAAACTTAAATTAGAAAGGCAAGAAAGTAAAGCCAAACTGTCGATGTATTGTAATAAATAAGATGGTTTACATATGACTTACTTCTCTGTTCTAAAAATAGACCCAGATATTTCTAAAAAGTCTCTAGAATCCCTCACTGTTGAACTTCATACCTCAACTTTAAAAACTGAAGAACAGAAGCCAGAAATCCCTAGCCAAAGCTCAATTTTTCTACCTATAAAGTGCTCTCAGTGCATACATATCTGCAGTGGGTGTGGAGCAAACAACCCTCATGATGTATTCTAAGAAACTCAGCCTCACCACAACTCCCTCAACTAGGGATTTATGGCAGAATTTGGGAAATCTTACCCAAATTATTTGAAACTGCTTCTTATGCTTTTTTGACATGTGTATGTGCAAATCAACTGGAAGCAGAGACCAAGGAAATCTGTTTCCAAATCTATTTCCATAGTCAATATACAATGATGTATAATGTGCTTCTAAGTCTGCATTAACTGGAAAATAGATGAGAGTTCAATAAAATACCCAAGGTATTCTTATTATGGGTGTAAATGGACTTTTCTCTGACTCAGTACACCCAGGCAGGCCTCTTGAATAAAATCTCAGAATATCACATTTGGATGGTCACACAATTGCCACTGGGTCAGGTGTAACATAAAAGGAAATTGTGCAGGTCCAGGGTTTTCCAGCAAAATTGTTAACTTCACTAAGTTCAAATCTGGGGCAATCCCATTGCTATCAAGCTACATTCTGATAGAAATGTAGACTCAGAGATTACATGTCACTAGAAATCTTCCTGGGTTTTTTCTTCTTTTTTCCCTATTTCCACTGTCCTTCTCTGACAAGCTTTTGTTTAATAATATAAACCGGTATAATTATTGTTATGTATATGTGTGGACACTTTTGGCTGTTTAACAAGTAAGAACATCTTAAAGACTACTTTATCCCCTTGTGATCATTGAGGAGAACTATGACCATGTCAGGTGCACTAGGCAGATTGAGGTCAGGAATGAAACCTACTGGGACGACGACACAGTTCAGTAGTTGAAGCTCACTGCCCCCTCAAGTCCACATGAAGTGGAGGACAGTTGATGCCAGAGACTAAGAACTTGACGTGCAAAAAGCTATGCCTTGGAATCTGGCTTGAATGGGTGCTTGCCTGTTGAACAACCAGGACATAGTGTGTAAGTGTGTGTGTGTGTGTGTGTCTGTGTGTGTGTGGCTTCTAGACATTGGGGATGCAGCTCTGAACAAGAACAGATGTTTGCCTTTTACCATGACATGAATATCTTCCTGGTAAAACACATGCTCTTGGCTTGTAAAGAGCACTGCAGCAGGGCAAGAGGATATGTGCTTGTTTCTGTGTATACATATGCAAAGTATACACACATATAATGTGTGTTATTCTAATGGCGTTAGTCTACATGAGTACAAGGGTTATATAGAATTATATAGCTAGTTATTATATAGGGTTTCATCAGTTCATGCATCTGTATGTCTATTTATAGAGGTGTTTATATTTCATTTGGAGTTAATATTTTATTGTCATAATAAAGGTGAGGTACAGAAGATTACAGTTAGATAAGTAAGATAGAGTCTATTTCTGGCCAGGCGCTAGTGGTTCACACCTGTAATCCTAGCTACTCAGGAGGCTGAAATCTGAGGATCATGGTTCAAAGCCAGCCTGGGCAGGAAAGTCTGTGAAACTCTTATCTCTAATAAACCACCAGAAAACCAGAAGTGGTGCTGTAGCTCAAGTGACAGAGCGCTAGCCTTGAGCTGAAGAGCTGAGGGACAGTGCTCAGGCCCAAAGTTCAAGCCCTATGATCAACCAAAAAAAAAAAAGAGTCTATTTCTTTTTGGAAAATGTCACCCCTTCCCTCACTGCACTTGGAATTATCATTATTATTATTATTTTGGTGGTGGTGGTGCTTGAACTCAGGGTTAAGGTGCTGTCCTTGAGCTTTTATTTTTTTTTATTGTGAAAATACCATACAGAGGAGTTACAATTACATGGGCAAGATAATGAGTACATTTCTTTTCAAGCACTGTTGCCTTCTCCTTTGTTTCCCACTTTGGCCACAGCTCTACTTCCTATTTTCCTATTTTCTGGTGGTTAATTGGAGGTAAGAGTCTCAAAGACTTTCCTGCCCTGGATGGCTTTGAACTGCCATCCTTAGATCTCAGCCTCCTGAGTAGCTAGGATTACAGGCATGAGCTAGGATTACAAGTGCCACATCCATTTGGAATTCTTGAAGGGACATGAGAATATCATTTGGGCATTGCAGTAATACATCAGAGCAAATAATTTTATTTCCATGTCTTTTAGAACATTTTTGCATCGTTTTCAGTCTATTTCCTATATTCATAGAAAAGCCAACGAATTGTTTTACTAACTATATTTGTCTGTGACTGCTTCAGAAATTCAAAACCCTACTGGGCTTTCACATAGTGTGAGAAAATGGCCCACACTCAATATGACCATTGGAAATTCAGATCTATTGTATAATCAAAACCCATCTACAGGAATGAATGAAAAGTGGCACACACAGCAATGAAACTGAACACACGGAGTTGTGGGGAAGTGAGTGACAACAATCTCTTACCTTGCTTTCCCTAGTCTGCGGGTAAATAGGGTAGTAGAGACAGGACTTATAGTCCAAGCGAAGAATCTCCTTCAGAAAAAACTTTGTGTAGTGCCGGAAAATAGGGTTCAGCGCAAAATGAAACAAGTGCCCATGTTCTTCTCGCTGGTGGTGGCTGAAGTAGATAAAATCTTCAATGTTGTAATGAGATCGTATGTATTCTATATCCTAGAGAAAAGGCAGGGAAGGGTGTTTTGAATAAACTAAAAGTCACTTTAGTGCCAGGTGCTAGTGGCTCACATCTGTAATCTTTACTACTCAGGAGGCTGAGATCTGAGGATCATAGTTTGAAACCAGCCTGGGCAGAAAAGTCTATGAGACTCCAATTAACCATCAAAAAGCTGTAAGTAAAGTATTGCTCATGAGGCAGATTATCAGCCTTGAGCAAAAAAAGTGAAGCAGCAGCACTCAGACTCCAAGTGCAAGCTCCAGTACCAGCACAAAAGAAAACAAAACAAAAAGAAAAGTCACTTTAGGAACAATAGTAAGAGACACAGTTTCCTCTCCCATTATTTATCTCCTTGTCTTCATTGTTAATACTTCCTACAATATTGTCAGAAACCTTGTATTCATATACTGTTTTGTAGAATGGGAACTTCTTTGTACAACTACTTAAAGATAATAATAAAAAATTTTAAAAAATTATGCTTCCTGAAAGATACTTGTTCTGATATCTTGTATTTGCAAGATGGCTATACAAAGCCATGATCGTCTATCAACACAGAGAGCTCTGAGTCTTTGCTGTGAGTTAAGCCACAAGACAGCAGTCCCTCACCACTGTTAGACACCATGAGAGCATGCAAATCAGCACAAGTGACTGAGCATGTGGGCAATTTAGGAGTCAAACATACAGATGAACTAGTGTTCCCCCGTATCTGGTAATGTGAAAATGTGCATCTCAAGAGTCACATGCTTTGGCACATAGGGCTGAGCTGTAAGACTGGGCCTTATATAGGGCATTCCTTAAACCATTTATTGCTATAAATAGTAAATTTTGCATAAGTAATTAAAGGGACTCATAGCACTGTCATGGAAAAGGAATACTGAACACACTGCTCCTGTTTCAATGGTCAGATTTTGGCTTCTGCTCTTTCTCTGCTCATCCTGCATTGGGAACCAAAAGTTCATCCTTGCTAAAAGTACACAATACTCAGCCTGGCTTCCTTCACCTCTCAGAAAGATACAATGTTAGGGGCAGGGAACAATGAAGAGAAATCCAAACTGAACATGACTCTGATGACAGGGGACTTAATTCTTGACAAATAAGGACTACAAGATCCTATTTTGTATCTATTGGATACAAAAAACAAACAGTAAATAAATCTGAAATGTAGGGGAAAAGAACAATCAAAGCAAATGTAGACTTGAAAAACACTAACTCAGATTTCCTCTTGATTTCTGCAGGAAAATTATTTTAAGAAGCACATTTTTGAGAAGAGGGACCGAAACATATAAGGAGCCAGATTCAATCTGTGATCAACAAGGCTGGCACTAGCAAATTCATGAACATGGTGAAGTTTGTGGCCAAGTCCCTTGTCTCCCAGCTTCCACCACAAAACAGAAGTGGAGTTGAGGGGTAACAAGGCCATTGGTGGTACCTCAGGGCAATCCTGGCAACCTTTCAATCTTCATTGATCCTGCAGCAGCCTTTATTCTATAAGACTTTAATTACAAAGGAGACACTGCTCATTATAAAATAAAATGAGTAATAACTGTAAGGCTGAGAAATCACTGAAAAGCAAAAGCCAACAGAGGTTACTAGCTCAAAACAACAGATGGGCATATGCCGTCTTATTTTCCTTTCCTCTCCAATCTCTTAAAATAACAAAAGTTTATTTTTGAAATAATGGAGTATAGTGGCAGGCCAAAATGGAAGGCAGTTTTACCTTGGATATGGATTTTACCACTAGGTTACATCTTTCATCCTGGGCCACATGGGTGTCTCTGCTGGCCTGCTGGTACTATACTCATGCATGCAAGAGGAGGCCATTCCCCTCCCCACTACACAGAGTATGGGCAACTCTGACAGTGACTGGAGAGATGTAGTAGAGGACTATCTCCATGCCAGCCACTCACACTGATAACCCAATTTTTCATTCACAATACAGACAGACTTTTGAGGAAAGCTGATGAATGCAAATACTAGAATCAAGAAGCATATAACTTGCTATGGTGAAAACAAAGCATCATTCAGAGAACAGGGGAAAATTTTTTTTTTATAATCTGTATAATATACTCAGAGGCTCTTGCATGTAACACAAGCCGATCCAAAAAGAATAAAGAAGAGAGAGACACAAATGTTAAATATATGAACTTTTGCCGGGTGCCGGTAGTTCACACATGTAATCCTAGCTACTCAGGAGGCTGAGATCTGAGGATCACGGTTCAAAGCCAGCCCAGGAAGGAAAGTCCATGACACTCTTATCTCCAATAAACCACTAGAAAACCGGAAGTGGCGCTGTGGCTCAAGCAGTAGAGTGCTCGCCTTGAGCTGAAGAGCTGAGGGACAGCGCCCAAGCCCAGAGTTCAAGTCCCATGACCGACAAAAGCAAAAAACAAAACAACAAAAAACAAAACAAAACATATGAACTTTGAAAATAAAGTTCCAATAGAAGATGTGGGTAATTGATAAAACCGTCCTCTGAATTTTAGCATTCCTTCTAGTTGCTCTGATCTAAACAAATCTTAAAACTCAGCGATAATGAGACTTCAGAAAGGTGACTAGGTACAAGACCAAAATGCAAAACTGAATACTTTCCATATACCAAATATACTTTAACAAAATACAGTAAGAAAAAAATGGTTATTTACAATGCCAAGAAAATACCATAAGAATACATAGAAATAAATCATAAATGTCTAAGACTGTATTTGGGCAGGGTCTCATCAGGAAATATGGTACATCAAATCAAGATCATTGGAGGAAGGTTCAACAAGGATGGGAAGAGGGTTAGTGGGGATAGTATGCAGCACCTCCAAGTTATTATCTGCCTCTACTGGGTGGTACAGGACTAGTTGCAGGAATTCACAAACAGCCTATCAGCCAGCTGCAGGCATCTCAACCTCATTGTCTTCCCCTCCTCCATCAAGATCTCCCACTGTCTAAGCATACCTGGAAGGCAAGGGGTAAAGGCATTCTGATGCCACCCATTCAGTCAAGCTCCTAGGACTAGGACAGGGTAGAGGGTGGGCCTTCAGGGAACACAAAGTAATTGGCTATATAGCTTCCCATTATTATAACAAAATGCTCATAGCTGAGTACTTTATGAAGAAAATATACTAATTGGCTCACAGTATTAAAAGGCTGAAAGTACAAGAACAGGTAGCTCTATCGGGGTTCGGCTTCTAGTGAAGACCCCAAGGGTAGATGACATTATAGTATGAACACACAGGGAGGACTGGAGCCAGTCTCTCTCTTATTACATAGTTAGTCCTATTCTTGTGCAAATGATCTGGGACCTCCTAAGAACTACTTAATTCCTTCTGGGGGCAGTACTCCCAAAGGCCTTTCAACCTCCTGCCCAGCTCCACTCCTTAAAGGACCCACCACATGGAGGACAAGTTTATAACACATAAACCTCACTGCCTCAAAACCATATATGAAAAAAAAGATTGTAAAACTTTTCTTAAGAACTCATAGAGTTCTTAGGGAAGAAATCCGAAAGCATAACTCCTCTCAACATTTAAAATACTCTTAATCAAAATGAATTCCAGGATATGCAAGCACGTGTTTGTTGTTGTTGGTGGTGGTGTTGTTTTGCTTTTTAAATATTTTGTCTTTTGTGTGATGGGGAGCAAGGGAGTACAGAAATGGAGGGAGTGGGAAATGAACTATGGAATTTATGAGCAGGGAGAGAAGAGAGAAACTGGGGGAAAGAGAAGGAAGGGGTGCCATCCAAAAAGAAATGTACTGGGCTGGGAAGGTGGCTCAGTGGTAGAGCGCTTGCCTTGCATGCCTGAGGCCCTGGGTTCAAATCCTCAGCACCACATAAGCAAAAAGAAAAAAGCCAGAAGTGGCGCTGTGGCTCAAGTGGTAGAGTGCTAGCCTTGAGCTGTAGAGCTGAGGGACAGTGCCCAGACCCAGAGTTCAGGCCCCATGACTGGACCCAAAAAAAAGAAAAGAAATGTACTCATTACATGACTTATGAAATGGTAATCCCTCTGTCTAATACCTTAATAACAATAAAATTGTATTTTAAAAAGTCAAAGAGTTGGGCTGGGATGTAGCTCAGTGGCAAAGCGCTTGCCTAGCAAGCGCAACGTCGTGGGTTCAATCCCCAGTACCAAAAAAGAAAAGACAAAAAAAATACAGTTAAAAAAAAAAAAGTCAAAGAGTTAAGGACAACACAGAAACCACGTTCCTATATTTTTATGTAGCGCATTCTTTAATTGTCCCACAAAATCCACACAGGCATAGAAAAATTCATAGTAGCATGAGGTTTATCTGAAAGAGGAAATAACCAGGAAAAATCAAGAGCATTTAGGTAAGAAGAAAAGTAAGAGAAGGCTCTCTTAGTTGATAACAAAGCATATGATGATGCAATTGATAACAAATATGTGAAATAGAGTTTAAAAATAGACACAAGAATATGTGTCTATGTGAAAAAGTGATACTTTAAACCAGTAGGGAAAGAATGAGTTACTCAGTAACAAATGCTTTGGAATAATTCCCATTTGGAAAAATAGAAAATGGCATATGCACTTGATAAATCTCTCTTTCCCGCCCAGGTAATTAGGTGTAAGGAAGAATGTTGGAAAACAGAAATGACTAATTGTAGTAGCAGTCTGTTGAAAGAGAGCTATGCAATTTTTTTGGTTGATTTGGGGAGTGAAAGGTTAAATTTTCAGAATAAGAATGTTTTCATGTCTCTCTGTAATATTCTAAGCATTTGGTGCCACAAAAAGAAAGGAAGCATGGCTAGGAATGTGGCTTAGTGGTAGAGCTTGCCTAACATGAATGAAGCCCTGGGTTCAATTCCTCAGTACCACATAAACAGAAAAGGCTAGAAGTGGCGCTATGGCTCAAGTGGTAGAGTGCTAGCCTTTAGCAAAAAAAGCCCAGGGGTAGTGCCCAGGCTCTGAGTTCAGTCCCCAGGACTGGCAAAAAAAAAAAAAATAGGGAGGGTGGGAAAGGGAAGAAGGGAGTTAGGGAGTTAGGGAAGGAGGAGGAAAGGTGGAAGGGAGGAAGGGAGGAAGGGAGGGAGGGAGGGAGAGAAGGGAGGGATGGAAGGAGGAAGGGAGTTGAAAGGCTGTCAGATGGGAGGCAATGAGTATACACTTTAGGAAAAGGAGGCATTCATATTAATAAGTAAAACTAAAACTTACAAGCAGACATTGTATGTTAATTTATATTTTACAAAGCTACACTGAGCACTCTACCACTTGAGCCATTTCACAATTTACCATTTCATTTTTGATCACTGCAATGCCAACTATTTGTTCTGCAACTTCAGCCACAAATGTCCTCATTGGTGTTCCCTCCTGGAAAGAAGAACATGTATTTTAAGACCCTTGAAAGTATCACCATTTATATCTCTGTCAGCAATAGTAAATTCATTATTATGAACCCACAACCATGGTTGCATAATTGGTTTTTGTTTAATTTATTGATGAAACAGAATTTAAATGTATTTATTATTTTAACAAAAACATTTAAAGAGTGGCACATTTTCTCTTCTTGCAAATCTCTTTAATTACTGATTTAATAGAAGACAGCTCAATTCCCATATCTGTAGTCAATCTGTTACAACATGTTTTGGTGGAAATACAATTTTTAAAAAAATCTGTCTTCGCAAAAATATGTAGTTAGAAAAGAAAGAAGTATTTAAGTAATCTTTTCAGATAAATATGGATACTTTTGATATTCCACCAAAACTCAACAAATGGCATTGTTTTAGGAGATTAGTTGCAATATGGTATCTGAAAACTCTCTCAATGAATATTGTATAAAATATATTAAAATTCATTGGTTTATTTTACACTTCAATTTTTTTCATTTATGCATACTTTTGTAACATCATACGTTGCTTATCTGGAAAATATTATTTCATCAGACTATGCAGATTTGCCAAATGTTGACCCATCCCATTACATAATATCAAAATACTACATTCATTAATATCATCACCAGATTCATTAGACAAAGCCTTTTAGGTATTGGGTAGTTGTCAAGCTCATGGCAGATGTTGGTTTTCCTAAATTCTACTTTTCTTTTCTTGGCTAGATCTTATCACTGGTAACAAATGTTGGAAGTTGTTTTCTTGGAGTGAAAAGGCTCATCTCATTTATTTATATGCATATATAACTTTATATTTAATATAATACAGCATATGTTAAATATATATTATATAACATATTGCATAAATTATGCATTTATACATTATATATAATATATACAACATATAAAAATATATACAAAATAGTAATTATTAATTACATATAAAATATATAATTATGCAGATAATGTACATAAGCATATATTATATAATAGAATATTATATAGAAATGTAATATTATATAATAATATAATATGTAAATATATTATATAATAGATATATACAAATATGATATATTAAATAAATATGTTGCATATATTTATTATATATATGCATAATAATATATATATTGCAGTGCTGGGCCTCAAACTCAGGGCCATGTGAATGCTAGGCATGAGCTCTACTGCTAAGCTACCTACTCAGTCCTTCATCTCATTCATATGGTAATGGGGCTTGTCTTCACTGTTTTTGTTGTGTTTTTTTTCTGTTATTGGTGTTATTTTTTGAGGTAGAGTATCACATCTGGCCATCATGTCCTTGGAGCCATCTGCCAACATTGGGCTTCCATTGCATCCAGCTCTCTATTGGGAAGGAGTTGAGAAGGGTCTCATACACTTTGCCTTCCAGGCTATCCTTGAACTGAGATCCTCCGAATCTTAGCCTTCTAAGTAGCTAGGGCTACAAGTATGAGCCACCATATCTGGTTCATCTCATTTAATTTTAAGAAAAGATGGGAAGGGGAAACAAAGGAATAGGCAACAATGCTTGATAGGAAATGTACTCATTATCTTGCCCATGTAATTGTAACCCCTCTGTATGGTATTTTCACAATAAAAAAAAAAGAAAATATCTGCCAAAAACTCAAATAAAAATAATGCTTTTTTTGTCAGTTGCTCTTTCATGTAAGGTAGTCTATGAAGTGTTTTTATTTTTATTCCTTAAAACAAAACAAAAAAAAATCATGCGGCAGAAGTGCTTCATATGCATTTCTCTCTTGGTCATCCAAACACTAAAAACACATGAAATATCAATTGTTGATATTTTAACAGAGTTAATAATTTTACTGCTTCATCATCACTAACTCAATATTTATCACACATATCTTTTCCCAGTTCATCCAGTCCTTAAGGATGCAGCCAACTCAACAAATAGGTCTAGTTAGGCTCATCATCCAATAGAATCAAACCAGAAGGCCAGATATGATAATGTATGCCTATCCCCGCTACGTGGGATGTGTAGATAGGAGAACTGGGGTCTGAGACGAACTCAGGCAAAATCATGGCAGCCTATCTGGAAAAAAATAAACTGTAGCTGGAAATTAAAAATAAAAAAAAAGCTAGGGGAATAGATTGGGTGATAGAGGTGGAACAAAATCAATCAATCAATCCCATTAACTCAAGTCTCGTTCCTAATTGCTACTGGGTTAGGGATCAGATACTCATGGATTCCCAGGGCCCAGAGTTCCCTATTTGGGGACCAGGATCCACCTCATTTTGTGCCAAAGCTTTGAGTGATCAGGCTCCTTGGGGACCACCAGTGGGAACAGCCTCACTTCCTGTCACCTGAGTTTTCTCGATTCTATCTTTTTTTTTTGCTTCCCCTTCTTGCCCCACCTCTGACGCTCCCCAAGACCCAATTCACATGATTCACCCACTGAGGTCCAAGGAAAAGTCAAGTGTGACTCTGAGTCCCAATGGCCCCATGCACAAGGAAAGGCAGTCACCCTGGTCACCACAGGTACTTACGAGATCTTTGAAAGCTGCATTGTACTGGACAAAATCCTCCAGGATTTTTTTATTCAGCATAAGGGTTTTCACAAGGTTTTCAACTTTATAAGTATCCATAATATTAGCTAATCGTATATTAATGGACCTAAGTAAGAGAAATACATTTCTGAGTCAAAGCCCTAAAATATGCATTCCTCCAAAAATGAGGACAGAATTATCATATTGTTACATATAAGTAATACATAAATAATATCTGGTAAAATTTTTGTAACATGAAGGTTTCATTCATTGTAATTCATCTTAGAAAACCTGGAAAATGTGGGGTTAAAAAAAAGCACAAAGAATAACATAAAAGTCACTTATAATGCCATGAACCAAATACAACACAGAGCAACATTTCAAGTGCATAAAATTTAGTGCATATAATTTTAAATGTTCAGCATGACTGATTTCATGTTGGAGAGCTATTTGTGTGAAGAGCTAAAGTCTCCCCAAACCTTTAAAAGCATCTTTAGAAATAAACTTCCATTGCTTAAGAGCTGACTTCACACAAGTGACAAGTGGTCATAGGGCTAACACACGTCCTGAAGGGCCTGATTGTAATTGAATTCTCTGAGATCACCATCTTACAATTCTTCAACATTTTATCTGTGTTTTGTGTTTTTAAGTGAAGTGGGTGGACACAATAGAGCATGACTAGAGGCTTGCAGTTTTAGCTCACACATAGTTACCCCAGTTCCCTGCTGATGGTACATAAGGCTTCCCCAAGGTATGACAACTGAGTTGCACTAACTAGGGGGTAGGGCCTACCATTCAACCGGTGGGTTACTAGGCATGGACATGGAGAGTGTTAAGAATCAGGTGCATTTTCTGTGTCATCTCTAGTCATAGCAGGAGCACAGCAGTCCCCATTGGAGACAAGCAGAGTCACAATGTGTTTGTCTGGCATCTCAGCGTGAACTGCTTACTCATCTGGAACCAAGGTTGTTAGTGCATCCTGAGATGAGGTTTCAAGCTCTTGGAGAATGCCTGTTTGCTGTGGACTGGAGTTGTATGGCCATGGGAATGGGAGATTTGCCCCACATCTCAGGCTAGTGTCCCACATGTTCATTTTGTAACAGGTCTTCTGTATTATGTAGCTGGCCTGGTACTGAACTTTTTCATCATTAGGATTTTATTTCTATACTTAACATTATTCCTAAGCTACTCTAGACTATTTAACTCTAAAATGCAATATATATATATATATCTATATATGTATATATATCTATATATCTGTGTTTACATTTTAAAGAATGCTTGTATCTCATAATGTGGTTGCAAAGAAAATCTACATATGCAATAAACTGGTAAAAGATGATCAATTATCACCTTACCAATATTATGAGAAATATTTTTTTGAGACAGGGTCTCACTATATAGCTCACACTCTGTCCTGGAACCCAAGCAGGTTTTGAACTCACCATCCTCCATCTCCTAAGTGCTGGAATTATAGGTGTGTGCCACTATGACCAACTTTTATCGGCAATCATGAAGCAAAATATAAGAAGCTCTGATACGAACAACTTATACCAAAATCTAGTTCTGACAGACTAGGGAAATGGGAGAATTAAAATGGCATGTCCATGTAAAACCTTGTCATGAATATTCAGACTGGCTTTAGTCATAATAGCCCAAAGGAGAAAACAATTGAAAAGGGCATCAATTCATAGATGCACTATATATATATATATATATATATATATATATATATATAATGTTCCATTGTGTGTGTGTATATATATATATATATTCCTTAAAAACCTTATTTACCAAGGAAAGTAACAATCCACCAGGAAAACAACAATAGACTCGCATTAAGAATTGCTGCTGTCACACTCTGAAAACATTACAGGATGGAATAGGAGAAACCCTAGGTCCCCTTGGCTCAGGCCGAAATTTTCTGAATAGAGACCCGGAAACACAACAAATCAAAGAAAGGTTGGACAAATGGGATTGCATAAAGTTGCAGAGCTTCTGCAGGGCAAATGACACA